ACGTGTATTGCGAAATTAGCTCAACATGCATACATCTAAAGTGGAGCTGTGATCATACCTAAAAAATATCCATTGTTGCCAAAAGTGGATCGATTCAGGGACGTCAGTCAATTAACGCAATAGCGATGCCTTGCATCCATCCACATGTTCAGACGCAGCTGTAGCACTGGGGCAAGCGGATACTCATGCGACCTGGGCTTCATTACTCATGCAATATTTTTCGAGGTCCCCCCCCCATTTCCCCAGCGGCACCCCAGCCCCTCCCCCCCATCCTCCCTTCTCTAACAAAGATCCCCCATATAGCCTTAACAGACTGTAGGGGCAAGTGCTGTTAGCGAGCACCTATGAAGGCCGGAACGGTACACGAGGGGGTGGGTGGCCAGCACCACGCCCGACCGCCTTTGTCTCCCTAGTGGCAATGTTTACACATATTCTTAGGTTTTTTCGGTAAAGTCACGTAGGTAAAACATTAAAATTAATAAAAGTAAAATAAATAAAAAATCACGACGTTACCGAAAAAACATAAGAATATGAATCCTTGCAGTCACGAAAGCTTCAAATCTAGAATGTTTACACACTGCACCAGGTACTCATTTGAGGCTGAGTTGACCTAGGGGAGGCCCGGGACCGGTTCAGATAATCGTCACTGGTGTTTTTACCGTGAGCGGGAATCGAACTCGTATCACTCGATTCATAGCGCAGCGCGCTAACCACTACACTACCGCTCCCCACTCTAAACCCCCCCCCCCCCCCCCACACACACACACACAAGGCGGTGGGGCAAATATATTCCAGAGCTAAGCCCCGGACAGCTCCGGCTAAGAATAAGCTTTGCAATTTGCCCGTGCGTTTATCAACATTAAACAATGTATATGATACATCATCGTGGGTTAGGTATCCTAATCCACGTGGAACGCAGCGTTCAGTGAGTTGCACCGTTCTGCAATATTTACACCCACATTATTGTTGTACGATTCTACTCTCACCAGAGGTCAGTCGCCTCCCTATCACTCTGCTATGGCTACCACAAAGGAGTTTACTGTTCCTGTGGGCTTCCAATTGTTGGTTCATCCCACCCGTGTTGTGGACTCGATCTACCCGCCTCGTCCACACTGCGTTCAACCACGAAGTTGCATCATAACACCACCCTCGCTCACCCATCCACTCACAACACCACCCTGCAGGTCACAGCACTGCCTCGATTTTTGAGTCTTCCCCTCTCGCACGACTCGACTTTGGCGTTCCTTCCCATCGCCTGTTCCCCAAGTTATTCTAACCTTTAACCTTGCTCAAGTCAAGAAACGTGTTGACTCCTTTTTTTAATATGTATAACAACTTTAATTGTGATGAAAAGAGAATAAGCATTATCCCGTACGGTAGTAAAACACGTATGAAAGATGTTGAAACGCCAAATGGACACTCATTGAAAACCATCAAGTCTGCATTAACCACACGATGAGACAAGGCCATGAAGGAGGATGTCTCTGGTGCAGGCCAAACAAATAAAAAGACAAAGTATAAATTACATGTTTTAACATAATCACGTGCGATTAATGCAGCCCTGATGCCTTGCTATAGGTGTATATTTAGTGTTAGAATACCTTGACACTTACTGTTTTATTGGCAGAAAGGATAAAGTCTATTCTTTTCAGCATTTTGATACCGACAATGAAAGGGTCCCAGAGATGTGTGCTGTTTGTTGATGGCCGCTTTGGAGTTGTGCCTGTACTCAGCAACTATTATTTAAAAAAACAAAAGTAAATATACCACTTCACATGCTGGCCATGTACCTTATAAGGCTGACTTAACTATACAGTGGCAGCAGCGACATACGTTGGCTTTCGTTTCCATCCATTTCATTTATTCCTCATTTCTTCAACAGGACGGATCCAATTATTGGGCCGAGAATTGGCATCACCCTGAGGTGCGCACAGCAAAGCGCCTAGCGCTCGTATATTATTAATACCATTACGACTAAATACAGAGAGGGAAGGGGGGGGGGCAGCTATAAAGTTCGGCATGAAAAGAACAAAAAACTGACAAGAGCGTGACGATCTGCCAGTTGGCAGGAAGAGTCGCGCCCCTGCGGGATTGGGAAACACACGCGGACGCGAGCCAGCCAAACACGGTGGCACTTGACTGGCAGGGAAAATCAAAGCACACGGGGGGGGTGGGGGGGGGTTTGGGATTCGGTGATTCAGGAGGCACCACCGGGGCGCGCCTGCAATGCGTGACCCCCTCGTTTTCAAGAGCGCTCGTTTATTACGGCAGTTGCCGTATTCGCTTACCACCCCGCGCGTTGCGTAAACGCCTCTCCACCCCGCGGTCGCCACCGCCAGCGGTCCGCGTTCATCTTTAGCGAGACAGATTTGCCGCTCACTTTGTTGTGCGCGCGCGCGTGTGCGTGTATAGATATTATGTGTGTTAGTATGTGTTTACGGTGTTATTACACGTGACGACGTTCGTTTGTTAACTCGGGAGATCAATTAATTTACACCGAGGATGAGGAACGGGTGGGGGGTGGGGGGCTGTAGGGTTGGCTGAGCCCCCCCCCCACCCCACTCCTCTTTAAAATTGTTACGTTCGAAATAAATGTAGGGACAGCCTTTCCTCACATATGTACCAAGAAACCATATTCCCCGGATTATAAGACGCACCCCCGCACATATGTGTGCCTAGTGTCAGAGTATACAGATGTGGTCACACGCAAGCACGCACATCGACCGGATTACAAGACGCACCCCCGCACATATGTGTGCCTAGTGTCAAGAGTAATACAGATGTGGTCACACGCACGCACGCACATCGACCGGATTACAAGACGCACCCCCGCACATATGTGTGCCCCGTGTCAGAGTTATACAGATGTGTTCACACGCACGCACGCACATCGACCGGATTACAAGACGCGCCCTCGAATTTGCTTTAAAATGCAGGAGGACGCGATGCGTTTTGCGACTCGGAGAATGCGCTCGCTACATAGGGGGAGGGTAAGTGGGAGCTCGGCCAGAATGCATGATAGACGAAAGCAAATCATACCGTTACTCATTCTGTTTAGTGTTTAACATTTGTTTAAAGTTTGTTTAACATTCACGATGTGCCGTGCCCCCCCCCCCTATCCCCACCTTTAAACGGTCACGCCAGAGGTATGGTATGATGATTCAGATGATAATTCCAAAAATCTAAATCAAAACAGAACATATCTAAAGTTGCGGTTTGTCTCGAGCCACGTGGTGCGCTAAGCTTGCGTTTATTTAATTTTCTTCGCTGGTGTCTGATGGTGCTAGGCGGGGATGTGATCGAGGCTTTAATGGTAATCAAATGGGGCTTTGGATTTGGTCAGAGTTTCTTGGTCGTCGTCTTCTAAAGAATCTTAGCAAATCGACGTCGATGCATTTCCTCGACGACTCAAAAAAAAACACACTCATTTCATCATCGCCATCAACAATCAGCCACGATCAATTCACTGCTGTGTTAAAGACTCCCCAAAGCCATCGCCATCATCTATTACTAAGTATAATTGCTAAATAATAATAAGAATAATCCACCCAGAACTTGCTGCACACGAGCCAATTTGACGGGCTCTATCCCTTTGGTGGAACACACTCTCTGGGACGCGTTCCATGGCGCCTCGTTGTTCTCCACCGTTGACAATCATCTCTTCTCGAGACGCGTTTTGCTCCCCACCCCCCAAGCCCACTTTATTTTACTCAATTGTTGTCGTTTGTTGTAGTCGAAATCACCCCCCCCCCCTCACACACAATTCCCCCTTAAAAATGTCACACAAAACGAGAAAACAACGCAACCCATGCCAGGCAACTCTTCCGCTTGTGACCTTATAATTATAAGGTCACAAGGTCACAAGTGGCGTGTAGCGGTGACGTACGTGCGTAGCTTTATACATTGCCGTCGAATAACCTTCGGTGAAAGGGAACATTAAAAACCAATGACGACGCATATTATCATCCCCCGGGCAACTTCCGACTTCCTTGAGCGTTTGTTAAATTTGTGAACTTTGTTCTTGTAGATTGACTACGTTTCCATCTGAGACACACTCCTAAAGTATAGTTACCCCTCCTTCTGTCACTGTTACTTTTTTTATGACCCACCCTCACTGGACATCTGTGAGAAAGAGCTTCATAGCTCATCGGATTTCACCACGACAAATAAAGATTCTGATTCTGAAAGCATTCAACGGGATTTTAGCGCAAAATGTATGACTTAAATAAATGCAGAGGATACTAACCAAAAGAGCAACACATGGATTCGGGAATGTATGCAGGTGAATAACATAATAAAATAGAAAGTGAGTGGGCTTGGGCAGAACACATCGCTAGAAGGAATGATGGCCGACGGTTAAGAACGGCAACAGAGTGGCAGAACAAGGAAGGGGAATGCGTCCGCCTCGGAAATGGGAGCGACGGAATAAGCTCGCGTGCATGTGCTGGTTGTGGATCTTTATATTCCGCGATCACCGCGTACAATCTCGCCATGAAGTGCGCGATAATTGAAAACAAAGGAGGCCACTGGAATTGTGTCACATCCTCCAGCATTCACGCGTAATCGGGGTTCTTGTGTCAAATAAAGCACCGCGGGGAAAAATTGGATAAACCTTTCCCATTCATTTTACACATCGACGTATCATTGCTCGTGGAGTTACAACATCCTCTTGAGCACGTCCATTGGCTCTAGTACTCAGACACGTCGCTTCATTGTCGGATGCCAGCGAGTTAGATCAGTGCTTGCACCAAAGCACGGTGGAGGAGATATATTGAAAAAGAAAATCGAGGAGAGAGGGTGGGGAGGGGGGGGCTGAAAGGGTGCATGTAATGAGGCACAGCCGGCCTGTGGAGGTACGGGAGGAGGAGGAGAGACGAGGCAGGGGGGGGTGTGCAAAGAGAGTGGTTTGTGGGGGGTGTAGTGGAGAGAGGAGGAGAACGGGGAGGTATGTTGCATTGCCATTGACGTCCGCCTGCGTCACTCACCACCCGCAGCTTCAAGTGGCAAAAAGCTCTCGGCAGGTCCCTCCCCGCGCCGACTGAGACCTGCGAAACGTGCGCAGCGCACATGGTTACTGGGAAAGATTAGACGAACAAATGATGCAACTGATCGGGATTAAGCGCAGAGATTAGATAGTAAATCCACATCTGAAGCGGGAAGGTTGTTTTTTTTTCTCTTCTTGCGTTCCCTGCTCTCTCCGTGAACGGTAAGAATTTAAAAGTGTATTTTCTCACGTCTTGTTTTTTTGGTCATTGGAGATGTATTGCTGAGCCTTGTTGGAACAATACGCGCGATTTGTATTGTGCGTATGTGTGTGTGCGAGCGTTTTTTTTAATGCGCAATGTGTTATTTACTCTGGACTGGAATATATATAAATAGCAGATCGCGTTGCAGGGTAATTGGTTTGCATGCCAGATAAAATACCAGCGAAATGAGCAGCTGGAACATCACGCGCGAGTTGGGTCTTTGCATCAAAACCGTTACTTTAAATAAACCACGTGAGATCACTTTCTTGTGGCAGCGTGGTTTTTATTCTTCAAATCCACTCGTCGTCTCCCACGTCCTGTGTAGCAATTCCTATTGAACTTTATAATTTAGCTTCCTATTAAGGAGCATGAAAAGTGATGCTGTAATATGAATTAGTTATGTGATGTGTATATATATTTAATGAGTCGTAAATACTCATGCGCACTTACTGCAACTGTGTTTCCAATTTTGTATTAACTTTTATTGACCGGTCTTGGGAAAAACCGTGACTTTTCTTTTTCACGAACCCATTTTATTTTATTTTGTAAAACGCAGTTCTTGAATCGCCTGCGGCTCAAATTGCACCAAAATAAGTGGCGTCGTCTTAAATTGGCGCAACGCTCCTTGTCCGCTGTTTTTATCAGATACAAAAAAGCCGTCCGCCAACAAGTATACAAGAGGCAAGCGGAGGCGCCTGCATTTTTTTTTCTGAAAGTCCAGATATCGTCTGCATGGTGCAGCCAGCCCCACGCCCAGCTACGCCTGCATCCCTCCAGATCTTGGCGCATCACTGAGCTGCTCTGGACGTCGAGACATCCCCTTGGAGAGATGCCATGAGGGGGGGATGGGGGGAAGCCAATTGAGTCAGCTGCGGCGTCGATTCTCCACCTCGCTTCCTCCTACATGGAAGAGCGATTGAAACGCCTTTGCAACCAGCAGACATCTGCGACCTGATCACATACCAAGCGACGGTCCTTTGGGCGAGCAAGACCTTACAACCACTATAATATGCATCTGTGGTTGTTGCCTCTAATACTCATCACTGCTCACCTTATGGAGTACAATTATGGCCAGAGCATTATAAGACCAAGGAGGAACGCCCGCAGTAAGTTCACCGTGCTGTGTGTGCATGTAACATATGTGGCTCGAGCGTGTGTCTGTCCGCACACCTTACACACGTGTGTACACGTGCATTGCATGTCGCAATGAAACACGGCAGCCGCGCTGGATCGCAATAAGCGGCGCTTGAGTTATTTCAATTCAATAACGATTCAATATATAGGTGTCTGAGCATGTCCCAGCTTGTGCCGGGAAATACGCTAAATCGGTGCACAATGGTTAGGCGTCAATCGATACTGCACATATTTACGCACATATGCGATGCTAAAATACCACATTATTTCAATGCAACGTCGATCTGTATTTCATAGCGCGTGTCAAAAAAAACAGCAAAGGTCAACGTGTCTATAACGAGTGCCGCGTATGATGCACGGTAACTGCCTGAATACCGCGTGGCTCCATGCTCTCGGCTGTTAATCGGTCTCGGCGTTATGGAATATTATTTAAGTGATACGCCATCCAAAACGATGGTGTCACGTCCCTTAATCGTGTTTACCAACAGTGCAAACAGTGACATTTAAATGATCGTTCGCCGCGGTACGATAAAATACATCGTATATCATGCTATTATTATTATTGCTAAACATCATTATCGTCACCATTACAATACGATATTAAATTGTACAATAGTTTATCAATGGGCAGAAGTACACCCGCCAGAAATGTGACTTTCCTTTCAAGATGATTTCCGAAACCAGAATTGATTTACGTTGAAAATTAGTCATACCAAAGCCTGATTAGTATTCCTCACGTTACACATCAATTAGTATAAGCGCATTATTTTATTTTCATTATAATAACCACGATGTAAAGGACATGACTTGTAAATTACAATTGTATATCACCCCCCCCCCCCCACTTTCTCTAGCGTCATAACCGCTGCATGCAATTGGCCAAAAAATATAATGTTGCTTCAAAAATAACAATCATTCGTGCTCAATAGTGATTCGCATTTTACTCGACGATTATTCGTATTGGACTTATTGGTGTGCCACGCGAGATGGGAGGGCGTGGCCCCCACTCATTAGCTGCCGAAGGGGGTCGGGCACCCTGGTTTGTTTATGCGCGGGGCTAGCCCCACACACGCGGCCAGATGCCCTCTCTCACTCGGCGGCTCTTGAACATGTAATTCTCAAAGCCTCCCGTTTCAAGTTGCCGCAATATAAACGGCTTTGTCGAGCATTACGAGTCCACCCCAACCCCTACACATGCTCCGTTGTCGTGAGAGGCCCCCCCTCTCTCCTCCTGCTTCCTAGACCCCAGCCCACACCGTCCCTTCTCCCCTCACTCTTCTCGCTCTCATCCATGGCTTTTAGAGAGCCAGTTAATGACATTAATGGTTTTAACCTCGTCCGCTCCTAGACTTCATGAGCGCAGCGATTTACGTCACTGGGATCCTCGAATCCTATGAACCTGTGCTCCAGAATTCAAGTGGCGAGCGATTCTTGTCTGCCCAGTCGCTCGAGACACTTCAAGTGCATCTCCCGTAACGAAATAAACACAGTTTTTCGTCATCGTCATGTGAGATTTCATGAGCTGTAGATACCCGTGGGCGTGTGGATAATGGATACCCAGGGCTTAACATGATTTACAACTTCACTGCAAACACTGTCTGCCTTCTTTGATTAGTAAATTAATGAGATCATTGTCTCGGCAAATGCCCCCGACTTTTGTAGTGAGAGAAACAGCTGCACTCAAACGTTTCTACTGAATGTTGGTATCGGCAGTGGTTATGCAGAGAATATGATTTAAATCGTGTGGTGCGTGTCTGCTTGAAAAAGTCAATTTAGGGCAATTGCAAATGTTATTTGATTTAGCCCATGTCTTTTGTACAACATAAAATCATTGCTTATTTTTATAGAGTAACCCAACACTACAGTGGCTGTGGTTTGTGTTAGATCGAGGCATTGTTCTACTTCATGACATTGAAAAATGCAATTAATCTGTTTAGTGACATTTCAGAATACACTTGAACGGGAGTAGTTCTTACCAATATAATTGCAGGCCACGGGGAGGCTAATGCTCTATTAATAGTGATGGGTAAAAGAGCAATGGGGAAAGGGATATGACTGTTTCACATTTTCCGAATCATTATTTTAAAATGCCAAATGCAGGGCCGGGGGTGGGAAGTGGGTGGGCTAGGCTAAAATTAAACTTTAGAGGGCATTTCCACATACCCTACCAAATAGACGCTTTCTCCACAGGCTGCAGGTGGTGGTTACTTGGCAACCAATAGCCCAAACAGTTTTGCATGTCTAGCCTTTCAAGGTGCATGGTTTTTCTGTCAGAAACTATTTTATTGGACGAGTTATAAGGTCTATTTATGCACCAAGGTATTTCTAAAGTTAAGTAGGGAGATTGTATATCCCAATTCTCATAAATGTAATGCATTGTTTCCCAGAATTGCATTTTATTGTAGTTTTATTAATTGTCATGACTATTTCATTGTTCGCAATGTTATATTACAAAGCAGCAGTGTTTCTTCATAGGTAATGTAGAGTGGCCTGAACGCATATGGATTCGTTTTGCAGAAATACAAAAAGAGAGCTCAACATATTGCAGCAACTGGTAAAATTAATCAGTGGTTAACATAACAGGTCCTATATCAAAGAATGTAGTGGGGTTTTTTTAATAAATAAAGCACACGACGGCATGTGATACAATTGTGCGAATCAGTGGCCCTAAATACGTGACTATATGAAATATAATGCAATTTTTTCATCATGTAAAAATAACATGCTAAAGGGTGCTAGAAAGCACATTTACAATTACGGTATGTTTGTGTAGTTGTGTCCCGTGCTTTTATGACCCCCCCCCCCCTCCTTAAATGTTTTATAATTTGTAATTATAATGCTGGTGGAGCACACAAGGACAAATATCTCCCGTGTAGCCTGTAACAGACTGTTGTGGCAAGTGCTGCTAGCGAGCATCTATGAAGGCCGGCACGGCACACAAGGGGGTGGGGTGGACAACACCACGTCCGGCCGCCTTTGTCTCCCGAGTGGCGATGTTTACACATTGCGCCAAGTACACATGTGGTTGAGCCGACCTAGGGGAGGCCCAGGACTGGTTCAGATAATCGTCACTGGTGTTGGCCGTGAGCGGGAATCAAACCCGGGTCGCCAGGTTCGTAGCGCAGCGCGCTACCCGCTACACTACAACTCCCCACACACAATTCACTCACACAGAGACATTCTTATGCCATTCTTATGCAAAAGATCACACGCAGAGAGTTGATAATGGGCACATCCGTTTTGTTTACAAAGAGCCACTTTGCAAAATGAAGATGTTGCCTACTGACTTGATTTTGTTTTTTACATTCTCGGACGAAAGGTTCTGGTTGGAAAAGTGTAGCAAGTGTAAGAATCGATTGTGTTTTTATTGGGGTCATTTCAGCCCACGAGGGGATGGCTTTCACTGCAAAATGCCCTTCTCCTGCCCCCTGCCCCGTCTCCCAACCCCCCAACTCCTGCCGCACACACAGGTACTAATTTCAGGCCGAGTCTACCAGAAGGAAGCTGTGGCCAGGTGTAAAAACTCATTAAATGTGCCCATCGTTTGAGTAAGGGAGAATCAGATTTAAACCGGGATTCATGAGAAATGTGGTCAGGCTCAATAACTACGGTGAAATCCATCATTCTGCCACGTAATTTGCCATGTAGAGCTAGTTTGAAAGTACAGGCCAGGAAATTCATAAATTTTACTAAAACCAAAAAAAAATCTACAATAAAACAGACTCACAACATGCCACACCGACTACACTGAGCTATTGAAAGGGCTTGATAAATTAGTTTTGATGTAAAAATTTGAAAACAAATTTGAGGTTACGTTTAAGGTTACACTGATGTTGTGTGTGTGCGTGAAAATGTTAAAAACCCACCTGCAAGATAATGAATTTGACCCTGCTGGGTGCCCTGTAAGTTACAAATGTGGCCCCATATGGCACATGCCTATGTATGTACTTTAGTTCCCTTGCACTCCCTCTGGTCAAAATGTCGTTTGCAACCAGTGCTTCCGTTTGCTTTGAGATGTAAAAAAAAAATCCCATGACACTTTTTACAACAGTAGACCATTGTGACCAATGTTCCATTGCAAACCCACCCATTAAATCACAATTCCCCATAGCCATCTCCTTTGCCCTAGCATTGTAAGTCCTCTTGTGGCGCAAAAACAGTGGTGAATTTCTGGCATGGTACTGCAACCGGTACAAAACAAGGAGAACACGAATGGCTCAAATTCCTCTTCGTACTAATAAAGTGCAGACATTTGTAATGGTAATGTGAATGTGTGTGACGCGTGAAGGAAATCGTGATTGAATTTTTAGAGACGTTAATCAAGGGCCTGCAATCACGTATATGTAAAAGTTTGTTATTAGTTATTCGCAATATTTACAATTCTAAAGAGATACAAAATCCAGTGTTTGTTTGTCAGCACCAATAACACTCCACAATATTTGCCGCTATTCCAATAGTACTTCTTTGTATACCGTATGCGTTTTTATTTTTTGTTGTAGGGTGCTCTTTGTGACATCTGCAACTAGTTTTAGACAATATTCACTCGTGTGCCACAGTTGTATTGCATGGTTTTCATCATAACCCTTTATTTTCACATGCTTTCAGGAGTCTGCATCCTATATTTCATTGAATGTTTTTTTCCCTGTCAAAAACACCCACGGACACTTTGTTTAGATTTTAGCATTGTAAAACAAATGCGCACATTACGTATATCCACATGCATACTTAAACCAATTCAACGTATCAGGTCAATGAAACTTGGAGCTGGAGCCAACCTTATAAATCTAATATCACGAAAACAGGACTTGCACTGCGATGACCTCTCCCCTGAGTGTTATGCCTATCATACTCGATGAGAAACACGTTTTCTATGTGGCTTCCTGCCTGGATTCCTGTATGTCGGCCTGCCTGACGCGCACCCGAGTGCGCATCCACGCTGATGATGTCACCGCGCACATCTGCGTGATGACATCACCCGCTTCCCTGCGCGATGAGCCGGGTTCATGCGTCAGTCACGCCTCTACCCCACCCACCCTCCACGCCCTGCCGTGTATCCCACGGAAATGTGTGGGATACGCTATAATACTATAACTGTACCACAATCGCAAGCAGTTTTGCTGGCTGGCTGGCTCGCTAGCAGGGGGGAGGGAGTAAGGCAGGGGGAGGGGTACATCCAAACGAAGTGTGCGCTGCTCCTATTACACTAAATTGATTTATTGAAAAAAAATCTTGATTAAAAGCAATCTTTCGTATAATTTTGCTATTATATTAAAGTACATTTTTGGGAAAGCACATGTATCGTTGTGTTTCCAAGTAGACCTAAACATTTGCCTTCAGAGGTGCCTGCAAAATTTAATTTCCTTTCAACCCATCACCAATGACATTAAGAAGGTTAATGCTTACCTCATGGGGTATAATGCATCGGGATTTCAACTCCAGGCCAAATGCACAGACCAAAGACCACAGCACATAGAAACGCAATGGATAATCCCATAAATATTTAAATCATAGATGCATTAGTGAGCCACAAAAAAGTCAATAATTGAGAAATAATTATAATTTATACATCAGCCAGAAAATGATGTCATCCTTGCTATTGTGGCAAATACACAAGCTTCTACACAATAACACACCAATCAATATATTTCTATTTGATACAGATGCTTGAAATGTATCACTCAGTTTTCATGTCGCATTAAAAAGTGTGGTGTGAAAATTAGATCATTGGTTGTGACTTGGCTAGAAAAATGTGTGTACTCATTATTTTTTTATTTTTAATATACCATATTTTTAAGACATTGGTGGGCTATTTAAAAATATATATCCATGGGCTTTTACTTTGTTGCACTATATACCACTTTTTTGAATTTAACGGCTTTTAAAATAAAAAAAATGCAGTTAATTCTACGTCGTACAGTCATTAAAAGTAAATGAAGAGCAACCGAGCATGGGGCTCAATATAATTAAACCTTTGCTGCACATTACAAATGTGTGTATTGTATTGAAAATAGAACTCCATGTACACTACCTTACTTATACATATTTTTACCTTTCCGTTTTCTAGAATATACTGCCAGCAGGTGTTTCCCTCTGAGCATTGTCGTAAAAAAGAGGGCAGAATAGATGGTAAGAACAATTAAGGTTTACGAACAAACACACAAATTGTGAACTTTGTCATTAACGTTGCCAGCGTGGGTATTCCCAACCGTTTCTAAAGACGTTATGGGCCAGCATGGAAGATTAGGCCAAAAATACCCTCCGGCGGTGATTCAGTGGAGGCCTCTCTCCAGCCGTGGCGAGAACAAAGCAATTGCCAGGCTCGTCTTCACCTTTAACCTACATATTGCCAGGAGGTCACCAAGCTGGCTTACACGTAAAGTTAACAACCTCTCACGTTTATCAATAACACCATCTTAAAAAAAGGAAACGTGTATAATGGGCAAAATGTCGAGCAATGGCCCTTCTTCGTAACCTATTTAATCTCTTTTGTCAGGCATGGGACTCTCTGGAGTCCAATGTAAATGTGAAGTGGGGTGGGTGTGATCTCGATACCTCGTACGACCTGACTTTGTGCTTGCTCCCGTCTCTACAGCCTCGCTGGCGAATGCGTCAACCAATCCCCTGTGCCCGCTGGGCTGCGACAGCTGTTCCGGTGCCAACGGCTGCATTCGGTGCAAGTCTCGCTTCTTCTTTCACCTGCGGCGCACCGGCATGCGGCAGGTGGGCACCTGCCTCTCCGCCTGCCCCTCCGGCTTCTACGGACTGCGTGGGACCAACATGAGCAAGTGTGCAAGTACGTGTCGCCTGTGCTCTTCAGGGCACCTGGCTCTGTAGCCCAAACCGGGTGTTTTTAAATCATTTATATTAAGTTCACTCGCGCGCTTGCTTGCGCGCTTGCTTGCTTACGACCGTGCAAATCTTTCGGTCGTTTTTTAACCCACTTCCCGTGATCCAATCGAGCTGACATTTTCCACACAGACTCGTTGTGCGTGACAATTCATGTTCGTGAAAAAAAATTTCAAAAATTTTACACTTTTTAGGACAAAAATATTATATTTAATTACCAATTGCTTAATGGTGCCATGCAATCATCTGACCCATAGGTGGCAGCCATCTCAAGCCAAAGGACGAGAGGACTCTAGCCGCCACGCATATAAAGGATTTATAGTGAAAAACTTTGTTTTTACGGGTTATACTTGTTTTAGTTTGTTTTCTTCCTGTGGGGGGCAGAAAGGGAGGGTACGTGGCATCAACCTAAGTCAGGCGTCCGCAATCAAAAGAACAAGAAGAGCCATGTTTTTTTTATTCGGTAAAAAAATCTCAATATTTTCAAGAGCTGCAATGCATGTGAATACGAGACGATGTTCCTTCACAAATAACGTCACCACGCAGTCCTTAATGAGCCGCATGCAGCTCCAGAGCTGCAGGTTGCCGACCCCTGCTCGAAGCGAACCCCGTTCTCATGAGAGAAGAAACCAGAGGGTCCATTATTGGTTCTTACAATCTTAACAAATAATAATGAATTCAGTGCAATTCGCACAAGGTCTCACAAGCACTTTACATGCAGCCTAAGTTATGGAGAAAGCCTGTCTTTAAACAGGTGAGTGTTAAGACGCGGCTTAATGTTTTTTTTTTTACACTGAGATTCCCAAATATACTGAGGAAGATAATTCCACAATCGTAGACCCTGATTGCAAAAAGCTCTGTCTCCGATAGAACAAAATATGGTCTTTGGAATAATGAGTAGGCCAGAATCAGTAGATCTAAAAAAAAAAGTCTGTTTAACAGTATTCAGAACAATAAACATAGATAATGCAAAAAATAATGTAAAGCAATTTTTCAATCCACTGCTGCTTGAAGGCTTCCGCGAGCATTGCTGATCATTGTGGGTTGCTTGACGATACTTGACCACACTGTTTCGTGTGGGTTGGTAAAGGGAGGAAGGGTGGCTCGTGACGGGTTCTGATATCACTCGCCACGGATCTTGGCCACGGCCGAAGATCGAATAAAGGCCAAGGAGTTGAGACCACTGTGCCAGCGCTCCCCTGTTTAATTCCTAATTGAATGGAGATGCTCACTGCTGATAAACATGCGGGCTTCACAATGGACAGAAGCTCAGTATTGAAAGTTGAAATAAAGAGACTTAAGTCAATATTAATCATTGGATTTTTTTTTCAAGAGCAGGTGTCTTGTCTGCGAGTATTGTTTTGAAACCACTGCTAGGAACCCAGTATGGATGCACATTTATTTTCTCAATGGGCCGCCAGGAGATGTACTGATATTAAATTGAATGTGGCATTTGAAATAAAATATTGTACACTTACAGCATGGGTGTGCAAAATGTTAAGCAAAGTTCCTAATCGTTAACTTCCTCTTTGTAACCCATCTCAAATAATGTCAATTTCCTTTGAACTAAATACCACATTGTCAACATGTATAGAACACTTTATTCAGAAACTGTAAACCTATTCATTTCACACCAGACCTCAAACCCAGTCCCATTTTATTTTTGCTTATAATTTACTCATTGTTTGGCATAGTTGGGAGCTGCACAGGTGTAATTTTAATAACATGTTCCTTTGGTGTTTTTGGAAACTATAGTGTATGAGCAGATGTATGCTTAATTTATATCCATGAGTTAGTTTGAAAAAAAAACAAGTTGCGCAGTTCACAGTTAAAGCAGCAGAGGCATTTAAAATACAAAATTTAGCAGATTTGTCTAAAAAATACAGCTTTGCTCAACATAAGCCATGAAAGGCGAACAATGTCCTTTATAAGAATGTTTAATCCGCACAGCTTCTGGCTCGGCTTCATTTCAAGGTTCTTCCATTTTTGTTAAAATCTGCCTTTGTGGAAAAAGTATAAATCCACTTATATTTTGAGCCCGTGTAATAGTGAACCTCAGATATTCAAGGTTGTGTTTTGTATTAACCAGTACTGTAGGTATTGACTTACATAAACACACACATGTCGGAAAAGCACTCTATTTGACACAACCCTGTACTGTAGTTTGGTTTGTGTTCATAGAGAAAAGTTTACAACACCATTGCCCGAAAGAGTTACAATGGAGTAGCTTTAAAGATTTAAATACCAAGAGAGAATAATGTTGATACCATAGCCGCAGTTTTTTTATGTTCAGTTCTCTTTATGCATTTCTTTTTCAAAAAATTCGATTAAATATCCAACATGAATGTTTGGACATCTTTCTCTCTGCCATGCTCTTAATGTAGCAATGAATATAATTGAAATGGATGGATACAAACAGTTTTAAAAACACATCATCCAGGAGGTTTAAAATAAACTAAAATAAACATCTAGAAAAAAATGTGCTTGTGTATAATAGGGATTACCTGTGTTGTTTTATTGTTTTAACCTGAAGTGTAATATATTGACACAATTATTCTAATGTGTTTCTTCTTGCCCCCCCCCCCCCTTTTATATGTTACAGAGTGCAAAGTAGACAACTGTGAAATGTGCTTCAGCAACACGTTTTGTACCAAATGCACAGAAGGTTATTACCTGCACAAAGGAAAATGTTACAACACTTGTCCAGAAGGTTTCTCAGCTGCAAACCAGACCATGGAATGCACAAGTGTTGGTGAGTATTTACATCTTTGTTCACTCATTCACCACAACAATTCCCAGCCACTTACTTTGGTTTCATCTGATACTTTTGCATATGAAGCCAAGCAATATGCTGTAAAGCGTGCATGTTTCGTCACGTTTTTTAAGATGGTAATTATGAATGAGCTACCATACATTCTCATATAATAGGTTTTATGCCCAAAGCCAACATTTATCCACCACTTAAACAAAGTCAGGTTTTCTTTTTCCTTTTCAGTGAAATGCCGAATGTTTTTGGAGGGTTAGAAGCCACAAATTACCACACAATTTTGTGAGAAAAGTAATATTCGCAAGGATGGAAAGGTCCATGCGAAGTTATGTAAGTATTAGTATATAAAGTCAATATTGGTGCAGACAATTTTGGCCAATATTCACGAATTATTTCTGACAATGGGTTTTTTTCATGCAGATAATAAATGTTCCAAGTACACAAATGGGCATGACACACGAGTGAAACGTCTTACGTCCTTTACCTCCCACTTTAAATTGTGAGTTATATTAAACACAGTAATTTTTTTCCCCAGACATATTTCGTAAATACACAATTCATTCATTCGGAATTAATGTTGCTAAATAAAAGCACTGATCTCAGATTTAATTGGCTTTACCCCCTCGTGTCAATAAAACACGAAACAGAAAATATGTAATCATTAACATCCGATGACGTTCTCCCCTGGTCGTTACCATCTCCCATGGCATTTCGATGTAACAATCCATCTGGCTCCTGCATCGAGTTGATTTCATTACTCCATCTCCACGGTGAAAATGTTGTCCTTTGCCTGCGAATCTGGCATAAGCCATCATCGTATGCCCAAGCCCGCTGACTTTCCCTCACATGCAACAGAATGTCGTTATGTTTTGTATGTTCTCTCATACATGTGTGCCTCTGTCTGTCTAAACGAAATCCAAGCTTGTATCTCTCCCTATCTTTTTTTTGCACATTTTTTCAATGTGGCTTTGTCACTATCCATGTTTATGGCCATATAGCATAACACGTGATGTGCACGAATTAAAAACAATTTTTTTAGGCGAATTGACACGTTGCTTTTAAGTTCAGCTGCACAAAAACAATGCAACCTACTCTTGTCTACCTCTTAGTTTCATCATTTCAATTCTGACCGCCCATCAATAACTCTCCAAGCTATACATACGATGCTGGGTTCCAGTTGTGTCCATCAAAAATATATATTTCATTATTTTGTTTTCAATACTTTTTGCACGTGACATTTGTTTTGCTCACATTTATGCAGCCCAACTTTTTAGTCTTCTTATTCAGTCCATCTATCATTTCCGTTAGTTAATTTCAAGATAGTTTTTTTTATATATACAACGACCGTCATCAGCAAATATGAGAAAGTAAATGTAATCTACATTTATACATGTGTGTTTATATGTGTGTGGCTGTGTTGTTTTTATTCAGTTTTTTGGAAAATATCTTACGTCTCGAATAATCTTGGCCAAAGTGCGTTCCTCCTTGTCTGACTCAACCTTTTGGTACCGTCTCAATCTAATCTCACTGTAGCAGTCACAATTCAATAAATGCTTTTTTATGGGGTTCTTTTTAATTCCTCTGTTTGTGAGAGCTTGGATGACTGCATCATTTTCCACCGAGTTAATTTTTATCATTTGAAATAAAATAGTGGAACATGTAGAGGTCAACCAAGCATGTGCGAAAGCCAGCTTTTAGGAATAGGTTTCTGTACCAACTACCGCATCCATAATAATAATATACATCATGCTTTTCAGAAAGACGGGTGAATATTGAATACCATTTTGCCTAGCCTTTGTATACCTTGAATTATCATGTTTAGTGGTATGTACTCTGTGAATACTGTATAACCAATACAGTTATTCACATGCAGTCATCTATGTGTGTGTGTATATATTCCTGATTCTTTTTTTTACAGAAAACATATGAATTCAGAAAGTAAAATTTTTTACTTATTGGTCTTTCTTTGGAATGTCTCGAGAAAAGCATAGCAAACATAAGCCTCACATTTTCTTATTATCCATGTTTATACCTGGAAGCTAACAATTCTAAAAAGAACCACAGATAGTGGGACTTCAATGTCTCATACATTTATGCCTGCTATTTCTTTAACAAGTTGTTCAGCTAGATCTCAGTTGGAAATCAGCTCATACCCAACTGTAAACGTTTTTTAAAATCATAATTAATGATTGATGATTGTACATTGGTAAAACAAAGTTAGCTTTCATCTCTCCAATCTATTTTAGGTTTGTCCCACATGTTATTCGGCTATGATGTCCGGCATTTTGCTCTAATGTACTGACAGGGGGGGTTCATTTCCTGAAGAAGTTTCCAGCACTTGGAGCAAAATGTTGGGCGTCAAATCGAACGAGGCGCAGTACAACCTAAAAACACAACGCAGAGCCAAACGGCACGACCTAAAAAAAAAACTACGCTTGTCTTTTTTTCTTGACTATTGCAATGTCTTGCCCTCCGGAGCCCAGAGCAACCTCCTAAGCAGACTGCAGTCCATCCAAAATGCAGCCACCATGGTGCTTGCTCCCTTGGACTTCTCTTTAGGACCATATCTCAACTGTGCTCATGTCTCTGCATTCGCTTACAGTTCAAACCCTGCATCAAGTTTAACATTCTCCTTTTTGTGTTCAAGCAAGGTTTTAAAATGGCCTGTTCCACTACACATCCAGGAGTTGATTCAGCCACACACTCCGCTAACCAGCCACACACTCCACTGCAATCTCCAAGATCCACCGATCAAGCCCTACTGAGTGTAACCATACTCCAGGCTTCGAACCTGGGGTCCGACCACCCGACTTTTGTTTGTACGGTGCCCAGGCTCTGGAAATCCCTATCCTTCATTGTCAGGAATTTTCAGTCAATGGAGACTTTTAAGGCCTAGCTGAAGACCCCACCACTTGTTTAATAAAGGCCTCTCTCTAGTTCTCTATCTTGACTTTTTAATATTTCTCCCCTCGGCTACTTCTCACTTATAGTCTTCCTTTATATGCATGGTGATCTGACATCCATTGTTTAAGGGTGCCTTTTATGAAACTAAATTATTATTATTATTAAATCCACATGGTGTCACCAACAGAAGCATTCGAGTCCTGTTGCCCACCAATTTGTCATCCTCCCCCCGCACCTCCAATAAACACGAATGGCTGCATACGGTGTGAAAGAAGTTCAATATACGCAGATAATTATTTTTTTCTTTTCTCTCCCCCCACAGTGCACTGCAAGGTAGGCCCCTGGGCAGAGTGGGGCACGTGCACCAAGCAGGGACGCACGTGCGGCTTCAAGTGGGGGCAAGCGCTCCGCACCCGCCACGTCAACCAGCCCCCATCCCCCGACGGGCAGCGCCTGCCCCCAGACGTTGGAAACGCGGCGCTGCCGCGCGCCCCTCCGCTTCTGTCCGGGCGACGGTGAGACGAGCCCCGCGCCCTCGCGCTCAGCACACGAGCGATTCACTTGCGCACAGCCACTGCCTGGGAGCCGACGAGCCGAGCGACGCACCGATGACGAGGGGCGGCGGACGTGGGCCGAGCTGCAGTGCGTTTTGCCACGGAGAGGTTTCCTTTTTTTCGAGCACAGCGGCCGCCCCGGTTAATAATGCCAGAGTATTGACCGTAAAAATATAGGCCGTTTGCTGCACAGTGGACATTATGGATTCTGTAGCGTTATTCGGAAAAGGGTGATTCCACGTGTGCCAGCGTCACAGCCCAAATTTGCCAAATTTAAGAATGACCCCCAAATCACATAATTGGGTATCCATCAGGTAACATCTACTAAAAGCAATTTTTTTTTTACTAAACGGATGATTTTATTTTATCAAGTTATGCCCAATAAGCTATATAGCTCTTTTTCAGAAGCGACCTGGCCACAATGGATAGCCCAATGAAGTGGCTTCTCATAGGGCATTGATTGATAGCAGCCAAATACTCTGAACCCTTGTTTCTAAATTTGGAGGGAAAAACTGGAGAACCCGGGAGAAAAGTCTAAGCGAACATGGAGAGAACATGCAAACTCAAAATATAGAGGCGTCGTCAGGCTTGGGATCGAACCCACGACCTCCTGAATACCAGGCGAGATAGTTAACATTTCGGCACTGCAGACTCAACCTGATTGGAAAGTGCCTGTGTGATATATGATCCATAAGAGTTTTTTTTTGGGTTAGATCGCGTAAATATATAAATGTGTCGTTAAAACCCACCACCACCCGACACAGCCATCTAGTAAGGATTGTCACGTAAACAGAACGTGCCAATTCGTCACTAGTACAGCACACCGGTGTGTTGGAGAGCCAAGCCACAACATTGCAGCCAATCTGTACATGGAAGATTTTGAAACACAAGCAATAGCTTCACGCACACTAAAACCATCTGCTTAGTTTAGATGTGTGGATGACACATTGGTGGTCTGGCCACACAGCAAAGATACACTGAATGCATTTCTGAATCATCTCAACTCGCAAAGCCCATCCATCCAGTTCACCATGGAAGTGGAAGCTGACAAAACTCTACCATTTATGGATATTCTGCTCGGTCGGGGTCGAAATGGTAAAATAACACGCAGTGTTTACCGAAAGAAAACGTATACTGACGCCGATCTGAATGCAGAGTCACATCATCACCCCGCACAGAAATCTGCTCTTATCAAGACGCTCATTAATCGAGCTACGAAAGTGTCAGATGGTGACAGTCTGAGAAGTTATATTAAATATGTTAAAGAAGCGCTGCAAATGAACGGTTACAATAATGCACAAATCAACAGGGCATTGAATGCCAAAACCAAATCAAATAACACGAGCATTGAGAATGCCCACGTAATTAAAACGATCAAAATACTGTACATTGCGGGAGTAACTAATAAACTAGCCAGATGTTTGTAAAAACAAAACATCCGAGTCAGACTTGGCACGGTACATAAAATACGGAAATTTATATCTGATACGAAAGATGTTTTACCGAAGCTATCAACAGAAGGCGTGTACAGGATTAACTGCACGTGTGCTAAATGTTATGTTGGGCAAACAGGACGAATGATCAGCACGAGACTAAAAGAACATGAGAGAATTATTAAATTCTCCCAAATACAACTGTCAACAGTAGCAGAACACACGTGCCCACAAGAACACTCAATTGATTTTGATAATGTTGAAGTTCTGTGCAAAACTAGCTACTACTGGCCAAGACTCATTAGAAAATCTATCGAAATTTAAAAAAATAAAAATAACTTTAACGGTTCGGACAGCTACCGCCTTAGTGCTGCGTGGAAGCGAATCATCAAATAATACATTTAAAAAATAATACATATTTAAATGCATGCCTACAAAGGGCAGCATACTTCAATAGGGATTGCTGTTGGTACGGCTATTTTAATACACACAGTAGACAGGAAGGAAAAGTTAAAAGTGCTCGCATAATGCATAATGTACGTTGCCTCAGTACCCCCCCCCCCCCCCCCCCACTTTGCGCAAGAGCGCAGAAACGTGGTCACCACATCTACACCTTTATATAAGGAACGAAACAGTTAGACGTCTCCACAAATCTGGCTGTTGCCTGATGAAGCTAGTTGTAATTACTAGCGAAACGTCGTACTCAGATTGTAAATGTTGTGGCTTTGCTCTCCAACACACCGGTTAGTGCTGTACTAATACACTACACTACTATACACTCCACTATACACTATACTACACACCAGTGTGCTGTACTAGTGACGAATTGCCACGTTCTGTTTACGTGACAACCCTTACTAGTTGGCTGTGTCGGGTGGTGGCGGGTTTTAATGACACATTTATATATTTGTACGATCTAACCAAAAATCCTCTATTATGGATGATATTGGTCGTGAAAGCCTACATGTTAAACTGGTATATGATGCTTCAAAAAGCCTTATAAAACAGTCCTATTGTATCTTGACTTAAAGGTTTCGTGACTGCAGGAATTAATATAAAAAAAACTACGACGTTTCGTCGTAGTTTTGTTATTTTCTTTGAACCTATCTACGTGACTTTACCCTAAGACCCAAATAATATGAAGTCCTATTTTATATTTTAAAGTACACAGTTCCAGTGGGCTTCTAATGTCAGAAGGAAGAATGTTCCAGACAGTTGCATAGGCAGAACTAAAATCACGTAACGTTATGACCGTCTTCGTTTGGCTGGTGGCTAAAAGCTGCTACGAGGATGACTGCGCGATGGTCTATATTCCTTCACAAGCTCGGCAAGGTATCGTGGTTCGTTTGCGGAGAGCCCCGTGTGCAATAAGCGCAACCTTGCGATGTGTCCGTTGAGCAGCTGAGAGCCAATGCAGCTCAGCAAGCACTGAGCGGATGCGATCGGATCTTGCGGCAACCATCACGACACTTGCCAAGGGATTTTGTACACGCTGCTGCTGTGGCTTGCTCGTGTTTTTGTTCGACATCCCGTAGAGTGACGAGTTGCCATCGTTGATATAATACTGCGCACACGTCACCGTGTTGGTTACATCGTGAGTCAACAGTGCCTGAAAGTGTCGCAGAGCCGCTAATAATGGAAATTTCATGACCTGACCGTATTTGTCACGTGGCGATCAAACGACATTATGGTCAAGTGTGAATCTTGAAATGGCATGAATGCCAAAGCTACTAATTTATGGGCTGCTTATCCAATAAGATTCTATTATTCGTGACATCTGCAGGAGTATGTAAATAACAAAGCAATCCCACTGCGTTCAAGAGATAATTGTGAGCATTGTGTGAAAATACAAGCAGTGCAGATGCCGTGCCAAAAACAATCTGCATACTGCACTGACATTTAAAAATAGAGCATGGTTCATTTTTACTTGCTTGCCAGACTTCTGGTGGGAGGCTTATGTAATTGCGCCCTTCTGTGCATGTCTTTCCACATGTTCGTCCGCATGTGCGCATTACAGTGTCAGCCTAGCCATTGCAACTACACTGGAGTATTTAGCGTATCGCTCAATCTTACCACTTTGAGTTAAACAAAACGTTCATAAGGTTTTCATGTTTTAAAAACACAAATTATTTCTACCCTCATGTAATCAGTAGGAATCCACACTTTGGCTTGGCACATCGGTGCACACGGTGGCCTTTATTCACTTTGAGCTGGAGAAAATCAAGTTTGGTAAAAAAAAAATTCGTAAATAATTAAACAACTCTTCCTAAAGCAGCACCCATAGTGATCTTCAGGCAGATGTGCCAATAATCCCACATGGTTGCCATGCCACATGGTTGGTCTTTGCCTAATGCAGTGTCGTTTTCTACGACTTCAGTGGTTGTCAAAATCAGTGCGTTTCATCGCCATTAATGAGTGCACAATGGTCGGTTGTATAAGAGAGCAGTCGGAGCTTTCATTGGTCGTGTTCATACGTTCTACAACTGTGGACACAAGTGTTGTGTCGCGTTTGAAAATAATTCAGGTGATGTCACGGAGGAAGACTCATTTGAAATATTTCCTGTGAAATTGTTCACTTTTATAGCTTCATTAAATATTACACTTTTTCCATGGGTACAGTATTTTACCACTGCTATTTAATTCATGTTTGCCACAATATTTGGGTCGGCATTGCCAACTGAAATAAATGTGGGACATAGCACGCCCAATGGTGCGGTTGTTACATGGCACTGCGCAAAAATTAATGTTACAAGAAAGTTTTAAACACATGTCAAAATACAACTATTGCACAGTACATGCTAACAGTGCGATATTTTATAATTGACCATTATTACATCGCAACGCAAGTAAATTTTGCGATATAAAATCTTGGTACCACGATGAGAATTTCATTAAAGCAGTCTTCATCTTGTCCATTATTTCCATATTCTAAAACATCATTGTGCAGATCTTCCACTTTCCACACAAGCAATAACTTACACGCTGACATGGACATGTGCTAGCACACTTATGTCACCACTGGCACATGCACAGACGAAGACAAAGACAAAGACCCCCCATATTGCTTGTAACAGACTGTTGGGGCAAGTGCTGTTAGCGATCACCTATGAAGTCCGGCACGACACACGAGGGGGTGGGTGGCCAACACCACACCCGGCCGCCTTTGTCTCTCCAATAGTGATGTTTGCACACCACACCAGGTACTCATTTGAGGCTGAATCGACCAGGGGGGGGGGGGGGGGGCTCCATGACCGGTCAGATAATCGTCACCGGTGTTGGCCGTGAGCGGAATTCGAACTCGGGTCACCGGGTTCGTAGCGCAGCGCGCTAACCGCGACACTGCTGCGCGCAGACACACACACACGCACGCGTGCGCGGAAGCACAAACAGCCCCAGGGAATGCATGTGGTTCAGTGACACAGATGATAGAGGTCAGGACTCAGCTCACCATGCAACAGGCCAGAGGCAGCATACGCACGCATCAAGTCGGCTACTACTGAAACACCGAGCGGCCCCACATTGATAGTGTTCGTGCGCGTCTGGCAAAGGGGCCTTCCGAGGGAAGGCTTAACAATAACAGTGAAGCAGCAAGACGTGCACTTCTCGGAATAGCTAGATAGTTGCACCAAGGCAAAAATGGGAAGGTTAATCCGCAGCTTGTCCTCGCAATCTTTGGCTCTGTGTTAATGGAACAGCGGTTGTTTTACTGGCCACCATTGGCTCTTTCCGCCTGGATCCTGTTACTGTATTTTAAGAAACCTTCCCGGTGAAGTGGGTTAGTTTAACTCGCAGCTTGGTATTGTTGCTGCTTCCACTCTCTTGTTGTGCTCACGTGAATATTGTAACTTGTTACACGGAAGGAAAAAGCAAGAACTGTCAGTAAACTAAATGTTTATTTTTTTTTTATAAACTGAAAAAAAACACTTTTGGGGGAAATGAAAAGATAAATATTGCATCAAGAGCATTGTGCTCGCTATAGCGTACAGCGTAACCCTAGGTGTCCCAGGCCTCAGGAGCGAAAATCCCTTCACGTCCTCTGTAATTGGTAACTTAAACTTTGGAATTCACGAGAGGCTAAGGAAAACACTTTTACACATTTTAACAGCTCAATAACAGGTCAGACACCATCATTTTTCCCGTCAGTTTATTTTCCCGGCGAATTCAAATGCACGTTTCGGTCGCCTTGTAGCAGAAATTCTTAAACGAATGCTCAATTAACTGATAATCAAAAGGTCAATACCTAAATATGTAAATGGGAGAGAATAGGACTCTTAATTATTACAGATCTGTATATTCATATTTGTTGGTGCAGCCCTAGTTCCACCTGAGTCCCACCAAAAGATAAAACACAAGTAGCTCCAGCTATTGAAAATAAGCATTTCATTTTTAAGGGACCCATTTTAATTAAAAAAAAAGTGTTCTCCATTTCTATAATAAAAGCCCCACACTCAATCAACTTCAAAAGTACCAGCCAACACTATTTCGGTCTATAAGTGAATAAATAAATAAATGAAAATGGGAGATAGCAATAACCCAGAACTGATAAAGCATTAGCTTTTGGGCTTGTTTAAAATACATTTCTCCATCTGCTCTGTATCAGACGCTTTGGGGATAAGAACATTAGATGCAGGAAGCAGTGGTTGCATAATCTCAGACCGACTCACTGGCCAAGAGCTTTCATCGTCCGCCTGAGACAGTGAATTTGATTTCTGGGGAGGTTCCAACTCGCAGCTGGTGCCCACCCAAGGAGTGTTCACTGATGTGGTACCAGCTAACAGCCCTCTGCTTGGCTCTCGGTACTGGAGACATGAAATTGGATTAATATGTTCAATCAGTGGTTTGGCCACCTGTTTTCAGAGACGATTGGATTATTTGTCACCAAGGTTGGCAACAGGACATCACTTCTCACTGCATATTTTCTGGGTTGCTGGCAGACTGGAGTAGTCACATGACCAGTAGCTACAACCATAGGGAGAGGGACACTGGATGTTGTGTCCTGGGTCACCTGTCTCGACATGCCGGGCTGAATTAAGCCCTGGCTGGCAAATGTGAAGTGAGCAAGTGGAGCTGGAGTTGAGGGTGACAGGATATTGACTCGGTAGTAAAACAAATCAATCAATTAATTCTGTCTCAAGCTACACCTCAATGAAAGTGCTGCTCCAAAGTGTTCAACGGTGAACCCTAAAAAAATGTCACGATTGTCTAAAATAACTGCATCTTTTTTGATGTATCAATGTACTCGACTGGAAAAAAAAGGTGGCAACGTCGTGGTAAATGATCTAAATGGAGAGGCTTGAGATTGAACGATGCAGTAAAACTGGTTAAGGGTATACATGTATCTGTGTGTCTGTGTGTCGCAAATGAGCTGACTAATCTATCGGTACATTTTGCTAGTTAGACACTTTGAAACCAAAGATCGTGCATCGCTTTGCAAGTGGATGACGACAACAACACCGATGCTTACAAATGACCAGTTTACCAAGTTCACAGGCGTTTGGAAAATACTCTTTTATCCTACGCTCATCCATTTTAACCACCGCCCTGTTTGAATCGCCAGATGCTACAAGTCCGAGGAAGAAACCAAAGAGGAAACGGAACAAACAGCAGAAAAGCCATCAGAAGAGACCAAAACAGCAGGCGGAAAGAGAGGCGGATGCCACACCAGCGAGCGTGTAATGATCCAGAGAGTAAGGGGGAGGCCCTGGACAGTCTTCACTATGCTGCTAAACAGTTGGACTGGCACCTGCCCAGACTATGCACTGCATCTGCAACTCAACAGCGCGAATTTCTTTTTTTTTCGCGCCAAATAGAATCTTTTAGCCTAAGTTGTGGACTTTGAAAGACGGGCAAATAATTTTTTGAACAAATTTATTTATAATCTACCTGTATATATTCGGGTTTTTTTTTTTCTTCAAATGAAATGAGGTGAAGAACTTGACGTGAGATAATGGAGGAGGGAAACTTACTTTAAATTGTCTTGGTTATTTTTGTCGTCTTCTTTCTTGCCCTGGACATTGTGTGAAAAGATGGGCTTTTGTTTCATAAATATAACTGAAACAGGGGCATTTCATTCTCCTGCCCAACCACCCCCCCCCCCTCCCATTATGTTTAATGTTGTAATATTATTTTTAAGTTCGATTAATATGAAGTGGGCCCTATCACTTGATTCCTCATTGTGAAATGTTCTATGCTGCATTGCAATTTATTGATTGCTGGCAACTTTACTGCCATTGCCAAATGGATAATGGCAGTAGAACATTCTGCCGAATATATATTGACAATTTTATTTGGTAATCTTGGGGAACAGCACATCATTTGGGATGGACTCTTAACTCCCGGAACTAGCACAGCATTATTAGGCTGTGTCAAACATGGTCATCTACACACACGGTACTTCAGTCAATTCACGATTAAACATGTGGCAAAACCACACTCTGTGCGCAAACGTTTTCTCAAGCAATTGTTTGACACTCGCATTTGACACTCGCATATGAGATCACTATCATGTTTTGGCTGTGCATCTTTAGGAAGGTTAAAAACAAACATGTTAAATCAGCGATCCGTAGACGATGCTGCTGCTGTGGTGTAATGGTTACCACCACTGGTCTTGCAATCAACAAGTCGCCGGATCCATTCGATCTCCTGGAAAAGGGCAACTTTCTTAAATCTCCCTGCCCCCTACCTCTGTCCAGCCAGCAGTATAAATGCATGCGCCATAGTTGATTTGCAGGCTGTGTGCGGCGGGGTAAAGTGTGTGTACGTCCACCTCGCCCAAGGCATGTGGCCAGCATGGAAGAGTAGGCCAAGTACCTTTCAAAGGGGCTCTCTAGAGCTTCCTCGAGTGGTGGGGCCCTTCCACCAGCAGTGTCGTGAGCGAGCAAACAGCAGTGCGGCCACCTTCACTTTGACTTTCACGCCACAATCTGACATGCCTCGCTTCACTTTACGCACACGCACCTCTGATTAGCACGGTTGCCTACGTATGGGGTGAAAGACGTCCCACATACATACAATCGTAGAGGCGTGTGCATATTGACTTCCCAACATGATTGACGCTCGGAGAACGTTGCACAAATCTCAGCTGCGAGTAAAGAATGTAGTTCGTCGATGATATGGCCAGAATTGCGTGATGATTCAGCAGCTGCATTGCATCCTACTGTGCGGCTGGATTCCTGAATGTGGCTGCAGTGGTACGTGTACACGCCGAGATAACGTGCATTCGATCATTAAAGCACCTTAACCAAACGCTTTACTTTGTTATTAGCTGGGTTGAGAAGCATGTTTCGTTTCTTCTTTTTTCTGTGCGCGCGTGCAAAACACCCGTTTTTAAAGGAACAGCGACGTTCGGCGACATACGCGTGAAGAAACGTGCGCGTGCGTGCGCGTTCGTGTGCGCGTGCTTACAGAGAGAGCGAGAGAGAGAGAGAGCCACGAGACAGAACAAAAAAAACATCTAGCGATTCAGCGCTTGCCTTCTGGTATAGAATACGAATATATAATTTTTTAAGTGAACGGCAGTAAAATATTTAAAATAAGGCGAACGTAATAGAGCAATTGTATGGCGATGAGAATTTAAGCAAGTGGGTGAAAACGTGAACATTTTTACGATATACCATCCGATGGCAATGCATCCGTGTACATCTTTAAACGAAGCTATCATAACCACAGCAGTAAATGTGTGCATTCATAGACAAACTGTTTATGCTTTCCATTTTAAATTGGAGTTGATGGAGCTGGTATTTTTTACTGGTGTAAAAAAAAATCAGCAATCGGTAAAATGTATTTGAATCAATATGTTAATATATATTAAAAGTAACATGTAAAAACTAGTATTTTTGTAGTTACCATCTACAATGTGGCGTTTAATGTATTATGTTCAATCCGAAGCCACTCCGAAAGTATTGCTTTGAAGGTGCTTGTGTATCCCCTTCTCGAGCCTGTTCACATGATGTAATGTGTTGTTTTTTGGTGTCAAACATATTTTTAATAAAGCTGGTGTATATGGCTGGTATTGTTGTTATTGCTCTAGTTCTACACAGTCATTAGTTTATTCATGTATGCTATTTACTTGAGACAGAGTGCACCGTTTAGTGAAGGGCTTTTCCTGCCAGCAGTTGCACAAGCGAGACATTTTAGGGTTTCACCTCTTAACTTTTGACATGTTTTTAATTAACTTGGGAGAGACTTCATTTGAAACAACATCACTATTGAACGCGAGTACAAAATCACGATAAGACACTGCCTGTGTAGTTCCCGGTGAATGAATTCTACAAAATGTCGTGCCTAAATATTGTATAAATAAACAATACGCTATAGAATCAAATGTAAACATAAGCATGCCAAAAACACCGTTTAAAGACTGCACTTTTTTTTACATTTCCGATATTTCGTAGAACAAAAACATTTTGAGATCCGAAGTCCACGGAATTTATAAACATTTCACGAATGGCACTGTGTGCAATGTGGTTTAACTTTTGGCTGGTCGGATTGCGTGCACCAATTCCTGTGGCCACTCGAAGAATGACAGAGCAAAGGGAAGCGTAGCGGTTCGTAGCATCGGACTAATGAATCGCAGTGCCCCACGATGATGGACAGGTGTTCTAGTCCTGCACACAACAGAAGAAAGATAAACGCTTCCATATTCCCACTAACTTCGGCCTTAAGGTTTCAAAGGTCAAAAATTCCCAGGAGCAGCGCACGTCTTTTCTTTTTTTTTAAACCACAAAGACATTGGATGAAAATCACTGACAAATCCCAGAATGGAGTAAAAAATAAATAAAAGGTTACTTCACAATAACACGAGTAAAAATTAACCCTTTCATTTCAAAGATCAGGTTGACCTTAAATAATTAACTTTCAATAGAAATACAATCACACCCGTTATTTATTTAATGTGCATTTTAACGAATTGTGCACGGTGCGAAGGAAATTCGAAGTTTAACATACTGTATGTGAAGCCAATTTTTTTCAAAAACAAATGCAGATATTCCCTCTCTTTTTCGGTACAGTATTGCCCTCCAACGAGCTATGGTATGATAATGTAGGGTCGGTGAGGAAACCGCAGTGCAAGTTGTTTTGCAACAAAAAATCACTGCAATCTTAACAACATTTTAGCATTGTCTTTAATTGCATATTAACAGAGGTACCAAAAACACAGGTGTGATTCAATGTTAATAAGTCTAACTTGCTTTTAAATGCAGCGTTAAACAATAAAGTGTACCTTATGCAAGACGAATGAAAATTGTATTAAATTGTACAAGTATGTATGAAAGAAAAAGAGAAAAGTTAAATTACTTTGAGGAAATAAAAAATATATTAAAAAGATGAATGCAATGTATTTGCAGTTGAAACTTACAAATATCTGGAGATTTTCACATTTTGTTTGTAAATATAGCAACAAATGACAAAATTGTAATTGGAAAAAGTTTAAAACACACATGCATTGTGACTTTATTAACATAATCCCAGACGTCTATAGTAATGCATATTGTATAACTTTATGCCATATTTTAATGTCAACGGCATGTTCACTGCACTTAAATTTAGTGATTGAATTGTAATTGTTTGAATGCATAAAAGTTGACATTTTGCAGAAGATTGCATTTAATGTATCACAATTTAATGGGTATTAGCTTTGGTTGACTAAACGAGAATTGTATCAAAATGCTTCCGTGGAAATACACGAGGGCTTTCTCAGCTCTCTGTAAAAAATGTTATTTACAAAATGCTTTGGCAATTCTGCGCGCAGCAATTTCAGCGATATTACATTTACAATGCATTTTATTTTGATAAACTTTGCGCCATCCAAAGAATAATGGAATACTATTCAACTGACATTTTTCCAAACACCTGTCAAATAAGATTAAACGGTGTTTGTTTAATTTGCAGAATTGTATTGTTTTCCCCCTTGTGAAGGAAGGATTAACAAAAATTACATCCATATGTCATATGAATAATCACTATAATCTTATGCAAACATTCTTTTTATAAAACTCACAAAATGTGCTGTCTATTATAATTGCTGTAAAGATCTCCAAATATTTATCCACTAATTTTAAGATGTATCTCTTTACCGTGTGTTATCGTTCTCCCTAAGGCCTACTATTTGTGATCATCAACATCCTTTTTCTTATGTTGTCCATTACTCGATACAGAATCTTCAATGATAACGATGCCTATGTTGCAACCTCCAATTTCCTTTCCAATTCTGTACCTCATCATTCAACAGATATCTATGAATACAATATTTTGCGCAGTGTCCTATCTGTTCTTGCTCAACGTGGTGTTTGTGGTTTGGGCCAATCTGTTCTCGGATTGCTTTGTAACTTATTCCTCCACTTTCACTGCACTACCCATGGCGATTCCAGTTCATGCAAGAAAATCACAAACACCTCCTCGCGAAAGACTCGACGCAGAATATCACTGGCTTCAATCTTCCGCACAGCTTCTCGGCCACAACCCTAAACCGCATCCACTGCACAAACCGTGGCAGCAGATGCGGTTTATTTGGTGCACAACTGGAAAATGTAAAAACTCTCCACCGTATGACTGTGGTCACCCAGAACAAAACCCTGGAACATATAAAAGGACTCAAAGCCCGATTCACGACTACGAAGGAAGCGGCATCATCACCTCAATACTCGTCCCAACTTCTCATGCAATTATCTGGCTCAACACATGCAAGGTACAATTCTAGTTGTTATTCTTTTAATTTCACTATTTTGAGCTTTCCACGTCCATTTCCTAGATTCCTTATTTTAAAAAGGATTTTTTTTTGCTGACAGTAAACTTTTATTAGGACACTCGCCTCTCCATCCTCACTCCAATGCAAAACTTACCAATCATCTGGCTTCCAGCATCTGAGCATTTTACCTTATATAGCATTGAACTGACCCATTTGGATGTTGTAATGCATTTATTATAATTGTTTAAGAGGGTCATATCTTTAAACCCCTCTATTTATCATCGGCAGCATGACTTGTTATTGCAATATATGAGCAATCTGTAACTTGTATTTAGGCCACATGTCCATGCCACTAATTAAAGCGGCGGTAGTTAGGTATGTGTTTCATGTGTGATTAGTGCGTGTTGCAACTACACATGTACATACATATGCACAAGGTGTATATACACCCACAACCAAAAACAAAAAGCCCTCCATAGCCAAAACAGACCGTTGGGACAAGTGCTTGTTCGCAAGCACCAATGAAGCCCTGAACGGCACACAAGAGCGTAGTAAAGACTGGCACACACACAAACATGTATCTTGCAGGGTATCAATGCTGCAGCATGTGCACCCCCTGAATGGACTTTCCCACAGATTGATAAATACTGACGCACAAGCACAAATAGCGGGATGGCGCTGGCACTGCCCACAGCATTCACTCAGACACAACACCACCAAGCAATCGCCGTTCACCACTAAGTGGCGATGACGTCACCACGGTGCTCGTACCATGCTAGGTGCACTTTGGAGGCGACGTGAAGTGTCGAAGGCCCGCCGGCAAATTGTTCATGGAACAGACACAGGTGCCATGGTTTGACTGGCCGATATGTGACTGGCAATGCACCACTTTTACATCCAGATCCAAAACTGATTTCTTTAGTATTCTTAGGTTTTTTCGGTAAAGTCACGTAGGTAAAAACATCAAAATTAATGAAAATAAAAGAAAAGAAAAGAAAAAATCACGACGTTTCGGAGGCAACACAAGTCTCCGTCATCAGGTGGGACCGTCACAGCCGAATTAGCTGTATCATTATTTTATTTTCATTAATTTTGATGTTTTTACCTACGTGACTTTACCGAAAAAACCTAAGAATATGAATCCTTGCAGTCACGAAAGCTTCAAATCTAGAATGATTTCTTTAGAGCTGCTTTTTGTGTTTAGTGTGTTGCCCTTCCCCCACACCTCCAATAAGCACGGTTGGCCATGTACGATGCGAAGTTCCACATATGTACGACTGTGCTCCCCACTGTGCCAACTTTCTACGTTTTCGCCATATTGATGATACACACAGAGTTAGGAGTTGTATCTTGAATGTTGTGATACTTAAGGGTAATGTTACTTTACGGTGGGGCACAGAGACAATTCAGTCAGACAAGGATAGCACATGACAAGCTCCGCACAGAAGTGTTACACGAACCCACTTTCTGAACCAGTGGCGGCTCCTGCAAAATCTCTCAGGGGGGGCAAATGTCTGGATGATTGATAAGGATAAGGTCCACCCATGCAATGGATAAATTAACAGCTTAAGCATGTAAAGGCAACTTCACTTCTTTAATATTAATGAAAAATAAAGTGACTCTTACAATACATCTTGTTTGTTTCTATACTCACTATTAAAACAAACCACTCAAGTTTATTTTATTAAAGATTCCACTAGGTGGCAACAAATTATATTGTTGGATGAAACGTGCTTACGTATGATGACGTAAGCACGTATGATGACGTAAGCACGTTAGGGCGAGCCCTCCCGGAAGCCATAGAGAATGCATTGCAGCGCCCCCGTTCGAAAAAAAACATCTTTGAATGTAAGTCTATGGGGCCACTCGGGGCGATTCTCAGCTGGAGGGAAATCGCCCAAAAAGAGGCGGTACTCCACAGAACGTAGCATGACGCTAATTGGACTATATCCAGAGGCACAGTGACGGCTAGCGTGACTCTGTGGTTGAATGACATTGGTGGTGCGTCGCCCAATCGCCCTAATGAAGAAACCGCCCCTGTTCTGAACTATTGTCTCCTGCTGCTTCTCGTGACGATGCTGCTGATGTTGCGTTTGCTGCTGCTGCTGCTGATGTGATTTATGTCGGAAAGCGTCTGAATCTTGATTGGCAACCATTGCCTGTGACAATTGCTTCAAACTTGCCCCAGTTAATCATGGCCAGTGTAAACTGGACATTAAGATAAACTCTTGAACACTAAATCTATGTCACATCCCAAGAACCAAAAAGAAGTTCCAGATGTCACACTGGAAAAAGAAAACACTGCCCTTCACAGCATGAAC